TAACTTCCCGCTGAGAAGGTAGTTTAAAAAAAAAAAATTAAAAATTATTGACAAAGTGATTAATCCCTTAAATTAAAAATTGTTAATTAAAAGTCACAATACTGTTTTGTTTTGTTTATATTCCTTGACTCGCATCCCTTTTGTTTACCTTTTTGAATGCTTGATCTGTAGAGTTTTTGCTAGTAAATTTCATCCATGACATTGCCTCAATTAAATGTCATTTAATAAACCTTCCTGCCGCATAATTGACGCACAATACGCATTTGTGCGCTCATCTGTTAAACTGCATGAAAAACAGTTCAAACGCGAGCACAAGTTATTAACAGCATTTAATCTTCTCACCTGGTGCCCCGAATAAATGCATTAAATATGCTCACCTGAGTGCCGAGTTAATCGACTCTATTTATCCTTTTTTTTGGTAAATTGTGACTGTTAAATTGCATCAATTAAATGCGATTTCAATGGATTTATTTTTTGATAGAGCCGTACAGTTGGGAACCCTTTGGTTGAAATATTATTGTTGGTTGGGTTAATTCAATCAATCCGGCGGCACAAATGCTATTAATTTTGTGGGGCATAGAGAGGAGCCAGCCCCATAAATTCATTTATAACTTTGATACGGCACATGCCGAATGGACATGGCCACACAATGTTTGTCCGACTCAAATCCACTTTCACTTGACACATAAATTGAGTTAAAAGGAAAATGCCAAATTGAATTTTATTTACGTTGAACATTCACGCTCGATTTCACACACGAAACAAATCCGCTCTTTGGCCAAGAGGAAAATCTAGGCAGTGAAAAACCCCCCCAAAAAAAAAAAACAAGTTTGTGTTGTTGGGCTTGTGGAAAGCAAAGCTTATCCTTAAAGTCGGTAAAATGAAATTTACATGAGCCCCGGAGCCGCAACTCATTGTTATGCCAAGACATTGTCGTCATCAAATTATGGGCATGTAAAAATAGTTGCCATCCTCGGCCATATTGTTTGGCATTATGTAAATCTCTTCTACTGTATGCCCCATGAACACGCCTTTAATTGCTGAAGGCAGTGGAGTCTTTATGGCCGACATTACACGAGTGTTAACGATGACAATGAGCGGCCTGGAGGACTGGAGGTCCTGCGCCACCTACCTACCACGTGAGTCTCTTGGAACGTGAGCCGAGTTCAGAGTCGCGAGTCCCGGACTCATTATAATTCGTCTGGTGTTTTGCTATTTTTATAGACACTTGGTACTCTGCTTGGGGACTGCCGGCTGAGTCACTTCATAAATAATCAGATTTCTCCGACGGCAGCAGATGAATCCAAGGAAGCGTTTATTGAACCCTGTCCATCCGAAACTCTCTCTTGACATTTGCGCCGTCTTAAAGTTAAACAGTTTCCGTTCACCCAACTCCAACCCAAAGTTTCTTGTATATTCATATCCGAAAATCCGAAAAAGCCAGACAGAGCCCGACAAACCCATGGGTAGTTTTCAATTGCCTGCCATTTCAATTTATTTTCTTGTTTTTTTTTCCCCGGTTTCCGAGCCCCGTAGCTACCAGACTTGACATTAGTCGATGTTTTTTGTTTTGGCTCGGCACTCGACTCTTTAAATAGAACATTCTGTCAACAGGGCGACACGAATGATGTTCTGGAAAGTATTAGAAATATATATGTGTAAATTATATAAATCATGAATGCTCTTTACGTTCTAATGTCAGGCAAATGTGGTTTTTCTTAACCAAAACAATTATGTAAAATATTTTTATCATACAAATGTGGAGTTAAAATTAACACATTATTATTAAAGATTGTTTATTGGTTCTAGATATATTTTAAGTACCAAAAAAAAGGGCAAATGCATTTATATATTTATATCTTATAAGTTGTCGTTTTGGAATTATATAATATAATATATTTATCACAATTTGTTGAAAATCTTAAATATAAGCACTAGAGGGGAATCTTTATAAACTTTTTTTTTTAACAAGGAATTTTGTAAAATATTAAATTCTCTTTTTATAAAAGTCATTTTCTGAAATATTGTTTTTTTATTTTGCCTAAACCAATGTATTTATATGTAACTCTGGTACAAGTCAAAAGTAAAAGGTTAATTAAATCAAAACTAACTACAAGTTAACCACCCTTGACTCAGTTTTATGGTAGATTTAATTGCCTTAACTGACTCCATTAAAACCATCTGAGTAATCCGCATCTTCAAAGAGCTGAAAACCCGCCCAACAAAAAACGCAAAACCAACTACCGCATTGAAAAGGATTGCAGGAACATCTAGTGCACATCCAAATGTTTGGCAGGATACTTCGCCGCTTGCTCTCCACTTTTGTTTGCCTTGCTTGTCTAGTATTTTGCTGTTATTTTTGTCATTTTAAGTGCTTTGCCAAATGCACACGAATCGCTGCAGGCGCATCACGAATATTTCGCCGAAACACTTGTGGCAGATGTGTGTGTTTGTTGGAAAAGAAGGGGCAGGATCAGCAGCAGGATGAGGACGAGGTTCTGCCCGGAAGCTGTTCAGCGAGGGGCGAGGGGCGTGGAAAAGTGGTCGTGCCGCGACCTACAGCAAACATTGGCCAAAAACACAAAACGCGTCGACCAACTTTCGGCCGCCTTTGGCTGCACTGCGAAATCAGTTTTGGGTTTTTGGCGAGTTGTTGCGTGCTTTTCTCCTCCCAGAAATAGGCTTGAAAAAAATAATTTTGCTATAGGAAATACTCAAAAAAAAATCTTTGCGGCTTAGTGGAAAACAACAACAAACAGAAAAATAGAAACGGAAACGGAAACAGAAACAGAAAAACACGGAAAACAACAGAGCTTACTGGTCTTTTACTTGCTTAAATTTGTTTAGCAAGTTTCGCAGCTTTTGGCATTTTCACCCCCGAAACTTTGAAATGGTATGGTAAAATGGCATGCCAATGATGAAGTTATTGATGGTGATGATGGAAAATTGCTTTCGCAGCTGCTATTGCAGCTGGCAGGGAAAATGTCTGAGAATTTCCCTACAGCATTGCGTTTGCCATCGAATTTTCCTTTGAGCATTTAGGTGGAAAAATTCCATTTGCGGGTGCGGGAGGGAAAAATCACTCATTCGCAGCGTTGGCAGACGCAGATTTTTAGATTTTTTTTGGTCGTTTTGCACGCTTTCTTCTTGTTGGCGACAAACAATAAAATACAAATTTGCTACTTTACTTTACAGCAGCGCATAAAGAAAAACAACAAACGGAAAGCATTTCCATGACCTCATGTGGTGAGCCCAGACGACTCACAGTCGGCATTCCAAAAAGGGGAAGGGACATGGGCATGGGGAGGTGGGGGATGGTGGGTGCTGGGTGGTGGGAACCTTTAAGTAGGTCGTCGCAGCAAAATAAAAAGTTTGTTTGCCAGCGCACTCCAGTCGAGTGTACGCATAAAACATGGATTCGGCGGCGACCCACGAACGGCAGGATACCCTAGAAGGTCGCAGGACGAAGGGCGAGGCTGGATAATCCAAGGAATTGACTGAAAATTATGTGGAAATAGGAACCGGCTTAAACAAGCTACAGCTGCTTGTTTAAACTTTGGCAAACAATTTATGGGAATTTGCGTAAATAAAAGATGCAATACTACCATACTATGAACAATTTCTTAATATTTTAATTGATAAGGAACTTAAATTTTTTTTAAATGTTACAAAATTATTGAGGGAATAGGAGTGTATTGCTAAATTGGCAATATAAAGACATATTTCTAGTGCCTCAAGAAATAGGCTGTGACAGAAACTTCTAAGCCAATAACGGAAAAGCCCCATAAAAATGAAAATGCATTTCTGAAAACCTTTTATTTTATACACACCAAATGTTTCAGCCTAAAATTCCCTGAGGAAGCGCTGGAAAATTCTATTTCAACTTTATTGCCAACTTCAAACTCAATCCAATATCCCCAATTTCCCGGCTCTCAGCTGGGCATTTTCCAGCTACCCCCCTTTCCACCTCCCTCCCCTTCGACTACCGGTTGTCCACATCAAATTCCCTGTTGATTTGAATTTAAAAGTAATTTTTTTCTGCTTTACTTATTCTCTTTTTTTTTAGTTGGCATATTTGCAAATATTTGCCGTCGCTGCTGTGAGACAACATGGCGGATGCTTAATATTTCGTTTTTACTTTATTTGTAGCTTGTTGCACATTATTCCTACCATTTTCGTTCTGTTTATTGTTTTGCTGCGCACAAATTGAATTTGTCACTTTGGCTCTTTGGATTCGCTTAAATTGTCGCCGCTGAAAATGGGAAAAAGCTGAATTGATATGCAAAATATTTTCGTGCACATATGCAGTGGCTGATAAAAATGCGTCGCGCTAATAAATCGAATGCAAATTGTGTGTCTGCCCGCAGCTTTAAGCCAGAAAACGGAATTTATTTGCTTAAATTTTGCGAGTGTTGGGCGAACAGAAGAGGGGATGTAAGTGAATTGAATTGAAGTTACTTTGTGGTCGGCGAGGGGAAGCAAAAAGTTGTGGCCAAAGTGGTTACAAATCAAATCAAAAGACCCAGCAAGATGAATGGCCACAGGGAAAGGGTGGAAAGGGGGGAAAGCCGACCGAGTTATAAATTCATTTGGCCAACAAGGAAACGGAGCCAAACAGCAAGCCGGCAAACTCCTTACACAACGAAAATACATTTTTGTCTATTTTTATAAACATGTAATAACATTTTTAAAGAAATATTTAGATAACACATTCTAACTGAAATGACAAATAATGTTCTATAGGCTTATAACCTTTTTCAAAGTTGGGGTAACAATTTCCTTTTGTTCTACAATTTTATAAAATATATAAAGTTTTTAGCTTTAACGTGTTGAAATAACACAAAGGCGATAAGAAAATAAAAGTTTGGTAACAATGAACTTCTCAAATATTTACTTAACTTTTGAAGGACATAATAAAATATATATTTTTCAAAGTGCATTTTATCCCTTTTCCGTTTCCGTGACGACTGCTCACCCCGTTTCCTTTTGTGTTATTGCAGGACTTGGTGTGGCGGCTGCCTTCACTGGGCATCCAGATGACTCCAGTGATGGTCCAACCCTGTCGACATTCCTGTCATCATCACCGTCGCCATCAGCGGCATCAACTCCGAACTCTACGCCATCGTTTGCGGCGGCGAATGGGCCACAAACGGAAGCCACGAATCACACTTTCAAGAGTTTAGCCTTCCTGGACGCGTCCTTTGGCTCCGATCTGTTTGCCCAGAACGAGAGAGAGAAGGACGAGGAATTGGACACGGACAAGGACATGGACATGGACATGGACTCCTCGTCGCAGTCGCTGCCAATTTTCGACTTTGGCATGCCGCGCAACATCACCGGACGCACTGGCCACACGGAGGCCATAATTAAATGCCGCGTGGACAGTCTGCATGATAAATCGGTGAGTCGAAGTAACCGAGCAACCCCCTTTAGAGTGATGAAGATGCGTGCCAAGGACATCGAATATATATCATATGGATGTGCACTCGTTAATCAATTCTCTGCCTCTCCCTTTCTCTTTCCCTTTTCCTCTCCCTATTTTTCTTCTTGTTTTTCCTTTGCTCAACAGGTATCCTGGATACGGAAACGTGATCTGCATATCCTGACCGTAGGCACCGCCACCTACACTTCCGACAAGCGATTCCAGGTGGGTCCAGGGTCCATCTCATCATGTATTCGCTTACTAATTGAATGCGATGGTTAACTCGGGGCCTCCAAGTCAGCTGGCACAGTGGGCACAGTGGGTTGGGTAATCGGAGGGGGGGGGAAATAATATCCTGAAAGGTATATTCACTGGCACTCTTAATAAAATTGAATGCGAAGGGCACAAAAGTTGGTTTCCTTATGTCAAAGTTGACATATGCTGATATCCTTTCACTTGAGTGGATTTCAGACTCTGATTAATTCCAGTTGAATGTCAGCAGGCTAAGAAAGTGAATTTTAACTATTAACAAAATAAACTTAAATAAATGTCCGTTTCAGTCCTTTTCGGTCCGTTTCAACTGCTATTTCGCTTAAAATAAACAAAATCGGCTTCGAAGTTGATTTAATTTCTGAAAAAAAAGGAGAGCCGCAACCTGTTTAGATTGGTATTTATGCAGAATCCCTGGGCTATCGAGGGATCTATCAAGCTAATTTTATACAAACCATCCGAAGAGTGAACGACCTGCAAATCTAAGCCAATAAACCAAACGTAATCCCCAGATCCAGCCACAGATTAGCTGCAAAACATAACAAATCCCGATAAACTTTCCACCCAGTATTCGGATACAATGTAAAAGTTAACTCCAACTCTCGGGGGGATTTACGGTCATAGGGCCACGTTCATTATGCATGAATAAACGATATTTCAATGGCTAATCCAACTCATAACTCAGGACAATTCCGCAAACACCTCTCATACCCATTTTATTTTTTTTTGGGGTTGCCCACTGTGCTGCTGCTGTTGCAGTTGCAAATAAGCCGAGCCAACAAACAAACAAACAAATAGCAATTGTATAATTGCTTAATTTCCATGAAAAAATAAAAACACGATTGAATGGAAAACACAAATTTGCAGCCTTGCAAATTTTTGCCTTAAAAGCGAATAATTATTCCGCCAAGGGACTGACTGATAGGGCGAATTGAATTGAAAAACTTCCACTCCAGAATAATGAAAACTGAGTTCTGTAAACTGTGAATTGTGAATTGTAAATTGTAAATTGTAAATTGTTAACTGTAAGCTGTGGAGTGAAATTGAAACTCAAACTGAAATTGTGTATATTTCCATGGCAGGTGAGTGAATCGAAGGATTCCAGGGAATGGACGCTCCATGTGAAATCGCCACTGGCCAAAGACAGTGGAATCTACGAGTGCCAGGTGAACACGGAGCCCAAAATGTCGATGGCATTTCAACTGAACATCATCGGTGAGTATATCCCATATCTCAAACTTACAATATTTCACTCCAAATGAGTTCCATTATATTGCCATGATTATTGTGTTTATTTTCCTGACTGTTTACCTTGTCGCCGCCGCTGGGTTTATTAAAAATGTTAATTCGGTTTTTGGAGCAGGAGCTGCTCGCAATTATGATTATTTCATCCGATCTGAGGGGACCGGTTTTGCGTTTTGTTTCAGTTCGACCGCCTCTAGGCATACATTTTTAATTTCGCATTTCGGCCCATAAATAAATAAACAAATAAAAAGGCGAGGTCGCAAGGATCCTGCTCCTGCTCCTGCAGGAATGGAGCTGAGTTAATTAGCATGTCAACCCGGCGGGATTACGGGCACCGATTGGAAATGTATTCAGCGCTTTAATGAGCCATGCATAATGCGTATGTCCGCATATAATTAGCTGGCAGTGTGTCACCCGTCCAGTGTGTCCAGTGTCCTGTGTCCCATCGAAAACAATGTCTATTGTTTGCATAGGTGACTTCGAAATCCACCGGTAATGATTAATTGATGATGGTCTGATTACGAGGTGGTATGTTGGCTTGCAGCTACTTCAGAAAATTGACATAGTTGCTGGCTTTAAAACGGATTCCTATATTAGAAGCATTATTAAACACCCAGAGAAAAACGATAAACTAAAATTAATTACGTTATATTTCAATGTATCATATATTTTTAAATTAAAAGAAATTTATAACTTTCTAAAAGAGGATTTAATTTTAGTTTTGTTAAGTTGTTGTGAGCTCTACGTTTTACAATGATTTTATAAACCAATTACCATTCTTACTTTTATTATTTAGATGTTTCTTTAAATTAGCTTTGAACAAAATTTGCTTGGTACCCATGCCTCTCTTTTTAAGCAACTCCCCCAGAAAATGTTTTTCTTATGATAAACAGCGCAAATGTGCTTCCCTTCCCTCGCCTTAGAAAAATAATTTAGTTACACACAATGTAATTCCTTCGATCTGCTGATTGCCTCATTGTATCGCCGTCAATTCGTAATCTCAATCCGTTTAAAAAACAATCAATTTGCATATTGATTTTAATGGGCTGCCAATGAACTTTTGATTTTAAGTCAGTGCCATTAAGATGGCAATTTCTTTGACTTTAAATCACTGGCTTGGAAATGGCGACAGAAGTGTGGCGGATAAATAGAGTGTCGAGGGGATTTTAAGGAGAAATAAAGGACATTTCATGGCTACTGACAGGTCCTGTCGGCATCTGATGTCAGCCACTTATGCAAATCAGTCGACCATGCCTTTTTAAGTTTCATATTATGCACTTGGGCGCGATGCATTTTTGTCTGTCTGTCTGTTTGTCTGACAGTGCTTTACTTTCTTTTTGGCCCGGCTACTTTCCTGATTTCCTGCTCTGACGCTTACAAACGAATTTCCGATTACATTTTCTTCATGGCCGTATGCATTTTAATTTACGTTAATGAAACAATTTCCAAAGGAGCATGACAGGAGTGGACACTGGGCATTGGACAGTGGACAGTGGACAGTGGTGACAGCCTGGCAAACTGGCTGTGTCCTTAATAATATTATCGGCATACGTGTCGTATGAGTGACTTTCGCAAGGCGCTTAACTCTTTGCTCCGCTTGTGCTTGTGCTTTTATTTTTATTTATATTTTTTCTGCTCCTGTTTCTTTGGCTCTTTCGCTCGTTGTTGCGGTGCATTGCATTTAATTAATGTCATTATGTAAATTTATGCGTCCCACCCAAACGATTTTATTTTTACCCCAACGTTTCGCAGTTTTTCTCTTTTTTTTTTTATTCTTTTCCAGAAAAGAGATTTATGCCTGATATAAATATTGCCTGGGGCGGTACTTCCACCGTAAAATATCCAAAATAAATATGCATAAAGTATGCCCTAAGATGGCAATTTAAAAGGTTGTATTTATGTATGCATAATTTAAGAAAAAATATATACCGTATATCAACTGCAATTAGCGGCATAATTGATTGTTTAATCCGTTTCGAAAAAGGGAAAAAATGCGCATTGCGCAAAATATATTGAAACAGAATTAAGGAAATATATTTTGAAAAAGGGCAACCTTTCTTTTTATATTCTTGTGAATATTATTTTTTGATTGTTTATATTTTTGGGCATTAAAATTCAGAGATTTCCATAATATTACTGCATTTCATTTCTTTTCTGCACCCTATCAAATCTCCTCAGCATTTAATATAGCCGCTATTGCCTTGATTTCATTTCTAATTTCACGAACTCTTAAGTGCTAATTACAACCATTTGACCTTAGCGAAAAATACCACTTTTACGCTGCTTCTGCTACTACTCATTTTTGTTGTCTGCCATGCCAGGCGCATTGCATTTTATTTTCATGAAATATTTAAATTAAAAAACTTTATGCGCCGCCACACAAAATGCACGCAGAACTTTAGCGACAGCTGCTGAAAAATGAAAGAAAAATGAAAATCTGAAATGAAATGAAAAACAGTGGAACTGGTGGGGAGAAATTGTTGCTGCAGCTGCCTGTATCCGTGTCTCATTCTGAATTTACCCTTTTCCTCCCGCCGCCGGGTGTTAATTGCCTTTAACGCAGTGACACTGCACAAACACTCTCGAAAAAAGGGGGCGTGGCTGGGGGACGGGGGGTTCTTTGGCCAGAAGCAGATACAAATACACACGCACTTAATGGCGCAATGGGATTTTTTTTCCACATATGGCCATATGCCACAGACGCAAACAAACAGACGGAGAAAAGCGAAAATGCGAAAATGGGGATGTGGTACGTGGAATGCAGCGAGATCTCCAGTAGACGATTTAACCCCTGAAAGCCCCCTCCACTCGCGGGCTAACCCCTGAGCACGCTGCGACCCATGTAATCATCATCATATGCACTTTTATGAGTTGCTCCACATCACGCCTGTCGTGGACACAATGGGTCAAAAGTGCCAGACTCGAGGGAAAAAACATACATTTTTATTTAAAAAAAAATACGTAAAAAAATTAGGAACACCAATAAAATGTTGACAAACAAATCTTATCAGGAATCTTATTTCGTTGATCTCACAAAAAAAAAATGAGTTTTTGCAGGCTTGAAAAACCACCAAAAAATAATGGGGCAAAAAATTATACGGCTTACAAAGTTAAAATACCACAAATCTACTATGCGGTTTTTAAGGTTTTTTCCAAAAAAAAACACCCAATGTCAACTCAAAACCACAGTGCCACTGCAGAGTTTTTATTTCTTTTTGGCCACGCGTGTCTCCTCATTTTGGGCATATTTTTTAATTATTATTATTATTATTATTTGCACAGTCCAATGCATAATAAATATTATTATTAACCCAGATTCTCGCAGCAGCAGCCGCATGAGTGACTTTACATATGGGAGTGCTCACAACACTGTCATATCTATATATAAGTTTATTTAAGTGTGTGTGGTGTGGTGTGGAGTGATTTTGCAACACCCACCCACCTTCAACTCAGCCTCTCTCACCGGGCTTACTTAAATTTAGTGCAATTGAAAAGTTATTCCATAAAGTTTTATGATTAAAAGTTTTTATGTGCATTCAGTTGGGTTGCGAATGCTCGTTTTACGAGCGATTGCCCCAAATTGATTTTGGTCTGTGCCACCTAGAGGATGCATGTTTTCAATTCATTTGTGTGGCTTGTTTTTGCAGAGATTTCGCCGGATGCCAAGGCGGTTATCAGTGGTCCGCCCGACTTGCACTTCAAGGCGGGCAGTGCCATTATCCTCAATTGTCTGGTGCAGCAGCCATCGGTGAAGGACATAGGACCGATCTATTGGTATCGCGGCGAGCACATGATCACTCCCTTCGACGCGGATGATGGGCAGCCGGAGATTCCAGCGGGCAGAAATAAGGATTCCAACGGCAGGATCCCCGAGGACCCATCCCTGAATGACATTATGAGCGAGGTGGACCTGCGAAAGGAGTTCGCCACCCGCATCGCCATGGAGTCGCAGCTGGGCGATACTCTCAAGTCCAGGTGGGTTCTGCACCCCCACAGCCATAATTGAGTTGTTTTCACAGTGTGTGCTCCTTAATCCTCCACAGGCTCCGCATCTCGAATGCCCAGACCACGGACACCGGCAACTACACGTGTCAGCCAACGACGGCCAGCAGCGCCAGTGTCCTGGTCCATGTGATTAATGGTAAGTCGAGGAGTGAGTGAGCGAATGTGGCCTACACTCAGCCAAAAGTTAGCTTACCCCTTTCCTCAATGATAAGCTTTTAGGTTTGTATATTCTGTTGAATGCCCATGAAAGGAAAAAACAATTTATAAAAAACAGAAACTTATCGCTTTGAAAGGTGTGTTTATTTCCTATTAAATCATATTGGGTATAATAATAATTAATTTTCAGTTTTTATTTATCGGTTCAAAGAAATTTGCATGTTTAATATAACTATTTAACTTATTCCATAACAAAATATATATTTTAGTGGTTACGAATCCTTTTATAAAATAAGAAAATTAAAATCTAGCAAAAAATATATTCAATTTATTTCCGTTTCAAATTTTTATTTTGTAAAATATAACTATAAATTTATTCTTTAAGTGTAGCCTGACACTGACTTTCGTCTCAGGTGCTGCCGGCTTGGCATAAGCCTATCAGTTACACTGGCAGCTAGAGGTTGTTGTCCCAGCACAGCACAAAGAAAAGGGCTTCCCTAGGAGAAGTTAACTCCCAAAAGCTAACTATTATTTAGCTGAGACTGTCTCAGCGCCAGAAAAGTGAATAATTTTATGGCCAGCACTGTGGCCAACATGGCCATTCATTCACAGACAAGGCCTAAAAACTAAAAGTTTTCGCCTCACTCCATCATTTCACTCGGGACGACTGTTTGTTTGGGAGTCCTTCGTACTGGCCTCCTTGGCGTATGAGTAATGCGGCTGGAGCGGAGCACATCTTACTGACTTGGCTTTGCATATTTTACACATAAATTAGACGGGAATTAAGACATTTTAAGCTGCGAAATGAGGGGCATAAACTTGACGCGTCTTTTGTCCGGCAATTTCCACTGTTTTTTATGGCCCTTTATGGCAGGACATTCGCAGCAAATTGAAGGCACAGTAATTTTGTCGCTCTCGTAATCCTAGTCCTAGTTTTTATATGCAGTATCAAATGTTAAGCGAAATGTCCAGCACTTAAGTTGTTAAGTTGTTTATTCAAATGAAATTGTTGTACGGACAGGAATTTGCATTTTAAAGAGAAACCCAGTCCGCTCACTCTGCGATGCAAAGCCGTAATAAATATGATTAAATGTCAGAAGTAAGTTGCAAAAAGGCACTTAATCATGCCCCACATGTGGCACAAAAGGCCGCGAGTTTGGGCTCAGATAGCAGACATGTCGGGGTAAAGTAGAGAAGAGGAGCCACTGTGAGTGTGAGTACGAGTGTGACCGGCACTGTGACGGCTGGCATAAATACAGATAATAAATCAAAGGCAATAAAATTTTAAGAAAAATGATAAGAGCCAAATTGTTGGTCTAGGCGGGGTAAATACGACCTGGGAGATGCACTATGGGGAAATTCCATGGTTTGGTCTACTAAATTAATAAGATATTTAAAATATTCCTTTTTCCGCCTTTAACTTATTTTTAGAAGTTAAAACTATTTTCATTACTTTATACATAAATCTATTCATTTATATTTACAAAAATTAGAAAACAATTATTAACCAGTATAATTGTTTTCTAATTTTTGTACATTTGTACATTTTCTAACTTAGCCATTTTACAAAACCTTTAAATAGTTCAAAACTTAAATCATATTAAATGTTATTTTAATACCAAAAGTTTTCCGTAAAATATAGAATTTCGGTGGAGTTTTTTATTTTGCTTCTTCAACATTAAATTAAATTAAATAATACTACAGCTTTTTAAGATATATAATTTCTTGTACAACAAATTGTGCAATCAAAGCTTTGTATTATTTCAACAAGCTACCACTCCTTTTGGTAGCGATAAAAATGATTTAACAGAAATGCAAATCCAATTTCGCTGGTTATTTATAGACCACTAGATACTCTACCTTCACAGAGCATACTCCACCCATTATTCATTTCACTCACCCACAACTCCTAGGTCCTTAAAAATCAGTGCGTGGAGGAGGGCGGGGGGATAGGAATATACGTACCCTTTGTGACGAGTCAAAACAAAGCATTGACAAATGATGCGCCTGGAATAACATTTGCTCGGGCGAGAAGGCCGCAGAAATATTGCGTATACGCAGACACACATATGTCATTTATCTAGTCGAGACAAACAAGCCCCCTTTCCCAGCTCCATTTAACAAAACTCACTTCAAAGTCAGAGCCAGCGCTACATTGGGAAAAATTTGTTGTTCATAACATATTTTAAGTGGTAAAGTAACCTGGAAATAAATACATATTAAAAATTTAATTTTTTAGTAACTATTATGGGCTTATATTTCAAGTAGGCAATTGACAGACAAATACTTATAATAATATTTCTACATACATACACGCATATGGGAATACCATAAGAGATACAAGAAACATGAATTGTGAAATATTTAGAATAATTCTGTAAGTAGCTTACTCGAATGAAATTGCGAGTATTGCAGTTACATTTTTATTTACCGTGTAGGTCACAATTAAATTAAGTTATTTGCCCTAGCATAGCAAATGGATCTCTGGCCTCGTCGAAATTTGAATACACATGTTCATTATGCCACTGTTTGTCTGTTTGTCCTTTTCAGATGAGAATCCCGCTGCGATGCAGAAGAGCGGGGCGTGTCCTCGTGCCCTCGGTCCGCTCCAGCTGTTCTGGCTGTTCTGGCTGCTGGAGTTGTTGTTGCGAGCGGTATTGACTGCTGGCAACTGAAACTGAAAGTTGTCCCCATCGTTGTTGGCACTCTAATTGCAGCAGAACGAGAAAATTATGTTCCATGACGATGGCATTTTTTTTTTTTACCAAGTTGTTCGCTGTTTTGTTAGAATTCTGGAATGGAGGATGGAGAAAAACGGGCCAAGGGAAAATGGTGAAGGCAAACAACACAGTCGCTTTCCCTTTCAGGCGAATGTTTGTTTTCCTTTTAATATTTACATTTCATTGTGCAAAATGAGACACTGAGTCGGAGCAAGGCAATGGAAAATGCAAAATGCAGAATGAAAAATGCAAAGGACGAAGGACGAAAAGAATGACACTCTCTGTAAATACCACAAAGATGCGGCGTAGCTTACAGATATACTTACAAATACAAAAGTGTGTATTTTATTTCATTACAACGGCTCACCACAAAGAATCCACACACACACACACCCGCACACACATCGACTTTATCAACATTTCATGCTGTCTTAACAGAGAGCCAAGCTAACCAAAAGGAAAATATAATAAGAAAAATGGGAACCAGCCCCATACACAATCACCCACATAAGTACGCACACACCACATTCACATTCTCCCACGCCCAATAACTACTAGCCCGAAAAATTGTAATATATATGAACGACAAACGAAAAACGAAAAACGAAAAACGAAAAACGAAAAACGAAAAAAACTCTCATCTGATAAACTAAAAGCAAAAAAAACTTAATTATAAACACTAACTTGTATGGAATTTATTTATGGGCAAAACGAAATTTAGTCACACGGCACTCGACGTCGTAATGCGAATGGAAATGGAAATTGAATGAAATAAATGCGAAATGCAATATGTGAAAGCGAAAGGCAAATTGCGAAACTAAATCAATTGCGACATGCTCGACTAAGTTTTGTGTTGCACATCCGAGTAATACCATGGGTAGGCATGAATTTACTACACACGTAAGCCAGTAAGAAGATTTTAGATAATTTATGTGATGACAAAAACCCAATGAATAAATCAATGGAATGAACTCTTTCAACAATAAATCTGAAACGAAACAACGATTGAGCTTTTCATTTTGTGCTGCGGCAAACTTTTAATGTCTTCCCCATGAAATGCGGTGAGTACTTAGCAGAATGCACAATTTTCGATGAGTTTCACAACTCAATTAGTTGGCATTGATGGAAAGTAAGTAAAAATGCCTTTGAAAAGAGAAGCAAGTGGGCCAAATCAACCGAAATGCAAATGTAGTTATCAAAGAAAAACTCAAATATTTGTGTAAATGCATTTATTCATGTCATTACCATTGCAAAACATATCAATTTCAACTAAATGCTTACCATTTTATTATGTATTTTATTGCAAATGAAAGAGTTTACTGCTAAAAAATAGCTTTTTAATATGTTACCTATTACTAAGTAATTTTAGAATCATTGTAATGAAGATATAAAAAATATGTTTATTTTTTGTTATATTTTATATGTTATTCTGTTAATAAAAAAATTTATTTTACGCTACTATTTACTATTTTCATGTTACAATACTATTTGCTCTGAATAAAAAATTCGTTCATTAAAAAGTTTTCTGTGATATATTCTGTCAAAAGTATTTCAAATAACCAATCATCTTTTATTGCTTTAACTGAATACCCAACTGGGCCATTATCATCATGTTTTTTCAAGTCTTTAAGAATAAAATCCATGTAAACCCGTACTAATTTGCACCGAGCATTGGCAACCATTTGCGGCAGCTTCACCGACCATAACAGTCTCGAATTTCACAAATTATAATTGATATTTGCGCTGAGCTCTGGCAGCGAAAAGAATAACGAAAATATTGTTATAACAAAACGGCTCAGCAGACCTCAAGATGGCGCCATAAAAACGCCATTACTGTCTCCGCCGAGAAAAAACCCCATTCCCATTCGCAATCCTCTTCGTTTTCCCACCGCTGACCCAATTAATGTGCCCATAGCCGCAAGTGTTTTTCATTAGTTGGAATCCGCAATATTTAAATGAAACAATTACGGCCAGGACAGGCGGCACTTGTTGCTCTTTTCCCACCACCCAGCCTTTTCATTCATTCACAGGCAATTTAACGTCCATTCGTTCGGTTGCAGATTTTAATTTAAACAAACAGCGAAGGACAAAATCCAATCCGGTATATCAATCATACGCCGCGTAGGCTTACAGAAACGTCTTCAGCAGCGTGATATATGAGCCGGCTGTGCTGAGTATCTGAAATGGCAGAGAAGGGGCGGGGAAAAAAAAACATAAACATTTATTATCATAATCAACGCATCGCATCGCATCGCAGTACATACTGAACCAAAAGCTGGCAGTGAGGGCGTAAAAAACGGCACCGCAATTGTTTTTGCCCGCTGCGAACGCCGCAATATCATTAAAATCACTTTCCTAGTCCTCGCATCGCATTTGTACCACTCAATGTCGTACAGCACGTCCGCCACGGCAGCACTCTGCGAAAACGTCGGAAAAGTCGGGAAAGTGGAATGGGTTATGATTCCGAATCTGGAACTGAATCTGGGTGGGCTTGGCTTCCCCCCACCTCACACACGCCCGCCACACACACTTTGTTGTGTAATTAAAATTTTATCACAAGTGCAATTTGTGAATGGCACATCATTTTTTATGTGGCCGCCTGGCTGCTTAATGTTCAGCGTCAAATTGAAATTACAGAAATTGCAATACAAAATAACACGCGGAAAATTCTTATAACAGAAAAGTAAAAAAAAAACAAAAGCTAGGAAAAGAAAATCCGAATGAGACGATACTCTACTAATCAGTTTTGCAAATGGAAAGAAATTTAACAATCATTTAATACATAAAATAAAAAAATCTAGACCTACAATTATTGCTCGTTTTTGTTCGAGATTAAAAATAAATATATATAAAAGAATAAGAAAAGTATGATAGAGAAAGAATTTGAGGTGACGCTCTATAAATCAGTTTTGCAAATGAAAGAGGTCTTCAAATTCAAGTAATACATTGGAAGAACAAAATTAAAAACTCCAGTTTAACTGATCGAATCACTTATTAATTTTGAGCTAGCATTCGACTAACTTTCCAAATTTTGTGAAAAAAACAAAGGGGGTAACAAAAACTTGTTGCTCAAAAGGTCTAAAAACAACTAAAAGACATTAAGTAAAAAACTATTTTCGCTGTCATTAAGGTACTTGACTTTTCTGGTTTTTAAGTTTCAATTGAAATCTGTGACAACTCCTCCGTCAGGGTATCTTAAGCCGAATGAATGATGAAAGTGAAAATGAAAATGGGCTGAGTCTGTGCGGAGAAATGGTAAATGGGAAATGGGAAATGGGAAAAGTGGTCAGGAGTCGTACTCACACTTTCGCTAACTTGATTGCCGCCGAAGCAGTAGAGGAAAAGCTGCGTTAGGGCCGCGATGCTATAGCAGATGTAGGTTAAGCCGCTCAGCGACGACGTGTTCTACGGAGACAGAAGATAAAACATAGTTATAGAGAGCCTTCATAAAAATAAAGGACACCAGTATAAGAGATGTCATTAATTGGACAGAAATTGCGTGTGTTGAAAAACTGTGCAAGGGATTATTTAATATACCATATACAATATACTATATATATAGTAAAGTGTGCGAGAGTTTCCAGTAGTTGCGAAATGGAATACATCTAAGGAATGTACTTTGGCAAATGGACTTGGGCTACTTGCGGCTGCGGTCTGATTGCTTTTCCTATTTTCCCACTGCCATTTTCCACTCGCCTGACATTTCCATTGTGGCATTGAAAAAGAATTATGCGACTTATGCATGTCGTCGAGTGAATAAAACTGTGAGAATTCTCGATTTTGCAAGTGCCCAATTGGATTTGCCAACAATAAATTGCATTTGTTTTTGCTCTTTTGGCATTTCCTCTTGTTTTTTACATTGCCTTTTCCTTTTCTCTGGTCAATTGACGGTCGAGAAAGATATTTGGTTCAAGGATAAACACTAGGAAAATAACTCATTTACTTTTATAGATACATTCTTATAGTGGCTTAGTTAATTTATATTCTATCATTAAATTGAAAATAAAATTTTCAGTGTTCTTAAACTTACTATGATTTTATATTGTTCTATTTTCATAGTTTTTTTTTCACCGCATGTTGTATCTTATTAAACCATAAAATCCTTGTCATAAACAGCGTTTATATCCGTTCTAAAATCGATCATAAAGTTTATTCTATTATAAAAACTTTGGAAAAGAATGGTAAACTTTTTTAAGCACGTGTCACATGTCCTTGTGCCATATAGGTTAGCCCACAGTTTCCCACCCAAAAATGCAGTTAAAAAGTGATAATAGATCGCTGGCCGCAGGACCCCCGAGCGATATACAAGTTTCGAATGGATTACTCAACACTTTGGGCCGCATAAGCAGCGGCAAAATGCAAAGAAAGTGCTGTCGGAGTTTATCCCATTGGGGCCAAAAGCCAGCAGCCTTTTCACCAAAAATTCTCGCCGCTCGGCAGTTGCAGCAAACAGCTTATGGGTTTCCGGTCTCCTGCGTCCGATCCCCGATGTCCAATGTCCTGGACACCGGAAAACGTGCGAAACTCGCATTAAAAACTTTTTTCGGGAGCAGTAACAATTCATGCGCTTATAAATTGCCGCCGGAGCAGAGTCGAGCGGAGCCACAGCCGCAGCCACAAAGCAAATAAACAAATCGGGAAAAGCGAATCGGAACGAAGCGGCTGTGCAAGAACGGCAAACAGGGAAAACAGGGAAAAACTTTTAAAACTGCCGACGAATGCAGGCGAGAATAAAGTTCAGAGGCGATCGCAGAAAAAATGTTTGAGGGGGATTGTTTGGAATATATAGTTTGGTAATTAATAAAACATTATTGTTAAGCTCTTGGTATTCCTATTTTCTGAAATGTTTTAGATGTTATCGATTTTGAATACAAATTATAATTTTTTGAAATACTTTGGGCTAGCTTTGCTTAAAAACAGCACCTAACCCCTTAAAAACTGTCCCAAAAACGACACTGGCAAAGGGCTTACCAACATGATGTCCAGGATGGTCGAGCAAAGGACGAAGGCGGCGGACAGGAAATGCATTAAAACGATAACGGTGAACTGGCGTGTTAGGTCCGTGCAGAAATCGATAATCGCATTGTGCCGCTCGACGACTTTGGCCAGTCTGTGCCTTACTTCCGCATTCATGGCCTCCGTGAAAACATCCACTGAATCTGAGGGAATAGCGGAGCATAATGCCAAGAAAATTTGCAGCAGACGAAGACTCACCGCCATGCAAATCGGCAAATATCCTGCGAATATCCTGCTGCACCAGCCGGAAAACGCCGCTGATGTAGAGGCAGGAGCAGAGGAAGAAGCCGTCCACGAAGCTGAAGGCGAACACGGTGCAGGCGCCGGAAGCGGTCAGCAGCACGTACGTCACAGGAAACAGTCCCGGCTGGACGGCGAATCCTGGAAGTCTATCAGTGGGTCGAAGAGGAACCCGGATTAATATTCGATGGGCAGATGTTAAGTGCATCTGGAGGCCGCAAGTGCACTCATTACTCATGCACTGGCGACTCCTCCTCATTAGCCAAATTGGTTAAGGAATTCTCGTCTTAAACAAGAAGCCATAAAATGACTTTATGAAGGCGGTAAACTTGCATATTAAAGTTTCTTGCATTAAGTAGTTTTTGGAGTGAAATAATAAATATTATTTTAATTATTTAACAAAATTAGTGCCTTATCAAAAGGGTCTTAAAAATTTTACGGTCTCTTCGTCAACGCTTGAGTTTTGTTTTTAATTCTTTATACAAGCCTTTAAGAATTATTTTAAAAATATTGATTATTATTCTTATTAGAAAAATGTTAACATTATTATCACTGCACTTCTAATTGGTAAAAAATCGAATATATTAAAATAATATCACCATTTAATAAGTACAAGTATAATACAAATTATTAAAACGATGTTCTATAAATAATAACCTCCGGTATTTTATGTAATTTAAGAGTTTTTATAATTGAGTTAATACATTTAAATTAAAACTGCATCGGGTGTAATTGGAATAATTAGATAATTACTCACATAATGTTAAAGGGCAGTTCGATATGGCCCGGCAGCTCGGCCATCCAGCGATAGAAGCCCATTATCAGTGGTTGCAGGTTGAAGGCGGTGTTGGTCATGGTCCCCGAACTGAGCAGCAACAGGCTAAATCGGTTGGCCGTGGTGGCCAGTCCGACCAGCATCCGTTGGCCCTCCGCCCGCCGCGATTGCCACAGCATGACTCGCAGGCGTTGGACCAGCGCCGCCCACTGGCGGTTCGAGCGGAAGAAGACCCACAGCTTCAGAACACAGACCGCCTTGGTGGTGCCGGGGCAGAAGGCCTCCAGAGCCACCACCAGGTTGTCTAGATGGACGCATCCATAGCTCAGCTCGCCCACCGCTCCCACCAGCACTACGGCTAGGGCGAATAGGAAGCGCAAGTGGGCGTGCCAAGGACGAACGCCCACGCCCACGCCCTTGATCCTTTGCGGCCAAATACCCACAATGCGGCCAGAGATGCGGGGAATGCGGTAAAAGTGGCCAGCAATCGCAGGCTCTTCCGCATTCTCCTCCTGCACGCTGTCAGTCATTCTGGCGATGAATTCAAGTGGATACTATCGATGGGTCCTGCCGCAAAGTTGAGTGCTGGTCAGCTGCTCCCGGCAAGTGTCAGCAGCAATGTTGAGGTCCGCTTTTATAGCCACTGAGGTAAACAAATTGCAGGTGGGCGGCCAAAAGCTGTGCACCGCTATAAAATCTTTACAATATAACATTTGCTTTGAAACACGAAATTTGTTAATTACAATTGCTATGTTGTTACTAATTTAAATATCTTTGAAGTCATCATTTAATTTATTTAACCCCTTGCCATCTTTTTCAATAGCTTTGCAGAAAACTGACTAAGAACACATATTTTTGGGCCACAACTTTTCTCACATAAATTCAATTTGAAAACGGCACTAATTTATAAGCTTTAAGGTTTAAATTTCTAAAAATTTTAGAAATTTAAATTATGTAATTTTCTATTTCGAAAGTTTGTGGCATAAATTTTTCTACAAAGTTGGTTTGTAATTTTAGAATAATTCTCTTGACTTTGTAGAAATATTACCTGGAACCAGCACTTATTTACCAATAAAAAGAAATTCAACACCCATCACACTGGAACACAAATTCAAACTTGTAAAGTTTAAAATTTAAAATCTATGGTTTTTGCCTAAAAAATTAGGTTTCTCTGGGAATCTTCAGATTTCTGTATGCTTTAATTTCGATTTGAACTGTTTTTATAACGATTTGTAATTACCTTTTTTATGTTGGCACAATCTGTTGGTACATAAAAGTTACAGTACATTCTGCCATTTAAAATTGTGATTTTTATAGATGCAAGAATTTTGTAAAATAAAAAACAAATCACTGCTCTTCCCTCAGTGTAGCGTTGCCAAGTTGTATTTTTCTGACTTTGGCGAAAGTTTTAATTGTTTTTATGCTTACGTTTGCGCTTCCATTTCCAGCTCAACTTTTCAGCCGGTTCCGCCCATCAGTGAAGGTCCTTCCAACTCACCTGATTTCTGTTCTCGGCTATGGCCATACCACTGTAATTACACAGGACTCAATTACAAGTGGAATATTCCATTCAGTGCAAACAACTAACCACTGTTTGACATTCAATATTTTGTGTGTTGCACAACAAGCGACACAAAGGCCACAAATACAAATTTAATTAAATGTTATGCGGCAAAACTTTCAATTTCATCGGCCGCCCTTGTTGTCGTGTTTTCTTTTTAATTGGGATTACCTTTCCACTTTTATCGGACTAAAAGTTGTTAATTGAGGGTTCTTGGCCAGAATGAAAAGCAGGTAGGGTAAAAGAATTTTGCTTAAAAATGTTTATCAATTTCGAAAATCAATTTACATCGAAGGGAATAATGGAATTTTCTTTTCAATACCAAAATTTTTGTGAAGCAATCTATTGATTTTATTTGAATTTAGAAGGCAATCATTTTTGCGTAGGCTCAATAATCCGGCTAAGAGAGTTTCCATTTGCATGCTGAAGTGACTGGCATACAGTCAGTGCCAATAGTTAACAGACCAGGCCCAGCCAAACCAATTAAGAGCCACATAGCCAGGCCACACACACAGCTGGCAAGCTGGCCAGCAGGCCAACTGACCATTTGATAGATGGACAATAATTGCATTTTATTTGGGGGCCACAACGAATAATATTTGACTGGCGCAGTGGCCAGTGCACTGGCAGGCATTGCAGTTGAGCTATTTCATTGAGGTTGTCCCATTAACTTGCTGCTCTCGTTACGGATTTGTCTTGCATAATGTTTGGAGTCCCAAATCCCGTTGCCCATTCCATCCATTAGTTGCCGGGCAAACATGTAGCCAGCGTGCCTAAGCCAAATCCGTAGCTAATCCTGTTACAGCAACTGTATCAACGCCTATCATCGATGGCCAGTGAGTGGGTTTGGGGCCACGCCCACACACACACGCTGCGCCCCTTTGGTGCAGTTTATTTTGCCAGTCTGTGTGACATATATCAACATGGGGAGTCTGCTGCCTCTATATAGCTGTAGAGCTCCACCTGCATCAGCATATTCAATAAGCGGTACGGCCCACACGCCGTATGCGCAACTCGATGCCGCATAAGCGCACGTCAAGTGTTTGCATGTGGCCACCTCCGCATTCCTCCGTTCATCCGTTCATCCGATGATCCGACCCCATGTCCATCACTACTTCCTCGGAGTCCCCTTCAAACCCTCCGGCCAAGCGATTTGCGTTTAAGTGACCATAAAGCATTGCCTTGATGTTCAGGTCATATCTGCTAAAGTGCACCAAGAAAAAAAGATTTTAAATTAGTACCAATTATAAAATAAAATATAAAAAAAATGTATAAATAGTCTTTATAGATTTTCAATCATTTTAAAAAAGCCCAACAACTTATTTAGAAGAACAAGTTAGCAACAACAAAAAACTAATAAACTACAATATTTGAACTATATTTCCAAAAACCTTTTTAATTAGTTTGGAAACAAAACACTTATAAAATATATTATTTATTGAAAAAATAATAATGGCAAAATAACATATGATTTTCAACTTCTGCAACTTAAGTTACAAATCGTAAATTATTAAACCATATAAGAAAAACAATACTCGGTTAATTACGATTAAATAACTCTTAACACTAATAAATAATGAATCTAGATTTTTGAAATGCATATAAATCCTTGGAGTTAATTTTTTTCAAGTGATCTGCCACTCTAACACCTTGACCCGCCCACTCAGGCTATTATGTAATATGCAAATTGAAAGATTAAGCGGTAGGCATAAAGATGGAGCTGCGAGAAGGAGGAGGCCAATAGAGGTGCTCCTTTGAAGGATATTCGCCTTTAGCTCGCTCGGGGTAAGACTTAACAAATTGATTTGCGTACCTTGGGCCTCGATATCAAGGCCCCCATCGAAAAACCCTGTTAGTAGGGCTCATCACTCAGCGGAACTGAGTAAAAGGGGCGGTGGCTTTAAGGGCGTTTTAGGGGGTCAGAAGGCCTCTTTTGGCCTGCCCCTTCAGTGTTTTGTGCCTGGTGTTGTCCAGTCCCTTGTTGGCTGTCACTCCGGCCAGCCGGTCCTTTTATTAGCCAAGCCGTATAGAAATGCGAGCTTCATTTATTGCCACGACGAGTACACCAATTTTCCATTAAAATTTCACCCAGCTTGCGTGTGTGTATGTGTGTGTGACAATTGTATTTGCGCATTTCCATTTCCGTTTCCGCTCTGCCGTCGTTTCATGGCTGCGGCTGGCGTTTTCTTTTGCAAGCTGCTTTTGGCAGTCACGGCAAAACTGCAAAGCGGCATACGGCCTTGGCCACCCACTGCATACCACACCGCCTGAGTTGCCATAAATTGTCAGCTGCATCCATTCATAACTTGGGCTGCTTCCTGAATCCCCCGCCCCTCCCATTCGCCATGCATCATCGTCAGCGGCATCATCGCCGCCTTGAATTATGCGCCAATAAATTTGTTTGTTGAATATGCCACCTAAATCGGATTTCCCCCTCATTCACAATTTAATCACATTTATTTAATTTTAATTTTGGTGTGAATATATTTCCAAAACTGCATCTGCATTCGCTCAGTTTCGCTTTGCCGTGTGCATTCGTTTGCGAATATTAAATTAGAAGACAGGATTCAACTGTCAGGCAACAGTGCGTATGATTAACATTAAATGCGTTCCCTGTCAAAGTGCACAATTTCGGTTGGCAATGAGTTGGAGAGCCAAATGGCAGGACTGGCCGATGCGTTTATGTCCCCGGCACATAATTTTGCCTATTTTGGCAATTAGCTGGATAATTGATGCTTCAAATCAAAGTTCATTTGATAGCGAGGGCGGTTTAAGCAAATAAAATCGATAAAATAAAACAAAACAAGCCATTATAACACATTTGCAAGCAATATAATTATTTTATTTCAAAAAAAAAAAAAAAAAAACTATCTAATAAATAAATAGGATTATTTTAGAAAAGAGAATTTAAAATATTAATTATCCATATTTCATTTAACCACAAAACAATAAAATGACATGTGACAAAGTCAGATTTAATTTATTGGCGAGGGTGGAAACAACAATATAATAAGGAAATTGAAATGTAATCATAATATCAAAGGACCATAATTGTATAGAAATTTAAACAAAAACCATTGCAGATGTAAATACTTATTGGAAAGCAAGCCAGAAAACCACTTCCATTTAAACTAAACCATATTTTTCTGTCTCAAATAACCATATCTCTATATATATATCTATTTTCCATGCCAATCTGCTATTTTAGCGACCCATAAACAAATGGCTGTAAACACAGCTGATTTTATGCGCTGTCAACATGATAAACTGCGCTGAAATTATGTTTATTAAACATTGAAAAATGCATTGCAAATCTTCTATGCATAAGTGACACTTTGCTTCCCGCCACGAGATTTTTATGGGGCCACATAACTCACGAGGGCAATACATTTGTGGGGTGAAAACTACTAAAGCAACCCACGTGAAAGTTATAACTTGGCATTAAATGCGCAAAACCAAGCGTGGATATCGTGGATACACGGATCCCTAACACACACACACACGCAAACACTCACCCACACACTCATACACATGTGTGGCAATAAAATGCAGTTGAATGCCGCCGAAGGGGGCGTGGCAGGCGGCAGGCGGCAGGCGGGTCCTGTGAAGATGATTCTCCTCCAGATGAAAACAGCCGCACAAAGCGACGGGGCAAATGTGTTGCGCATTTCGGTGGCAAAGTTGCACAAATGTGTGAAAATTGTACAACACAAACAAGCGAAAGGAAACAGGACCCCGGAGTCCTGAAGTACGCAGCCTGCAGCCTGCAGCCTGCAGGATCCTGGTGGCGAAACTTGCAGGACGAGTGTAAAATGCAATTGAAAAATGCCACAGTTTTGCATAAATCAGCAGGAAAGCGCCGAAAATGGTGCACAAACAAGCAGCAGACAGCAGGCAGCAGGATCTCTACAACAATGGACAGGGGGGGTGGGGGGCGCGAAAAAGGAGGAACAAGGGGAAGAGGAGGAAAATCCAAGAGGAAAAGCAGGCAAACATGGCCGCAGGCAACCCGTAAACATGGCCAACATGTCGACGCTGGGAAAAGTCGGCAAATGGGGGGCACACACCAGCAAACCCGCCACTGATATAATTTACTGATAATGCAATTGCCGTTCGAGTAAAGGCAAACGCACGCGCCACCTGCTGCAGCATCGTCCTGGCTACCCACTTTCCCCTCCTCTTCCTTCCCCTCTTTCCTTTACTCCTCTGCAACCAATTTCATCCTTGTTGCATGCCCCACTAAGCAAGCAACTTCCTAGAGCCGAAAACCGCTGAAATGCGCAGCAAAAAATTGAGTAATAACAATTACGCTTCGCCACAACGAAGCTTTAATGCACTTGCCAGTCCAGCCAAATGGTCAATAAAACTAACTTAAGGAGGGGAAAAGGTTGCAAATATAAATTAAATATTTTAAAATTATAAAACAAAATAAGATGTATATAGGAATAACATAAAATGATAAAATAATCCTGAACTTAATTAAAGATGTAATAATATAATAATTCATTAATAGCATCATTAACTTCCTTTTTACTTTCAAGTGAAGAAATTTATTAATAAATGTTTTACAGTTTGTAAAAGGCACCACTTAGTTTAGAACTAATTGATTTCCTCTGCGACTGGGCTCATTGCAGCAATAACTTTTACGAATTAATCTTTCAAGCTTAGTAATTTTGGAAAAATTACAGTATTACAGTATGTATTACAGTATGTAATAGGCACAAATTGGTTTAAAGCAAAATGATTTCCTGTGCGGCTGGGCTCTCATTACAGCAATGCCCGCTGAAAGGACATGTTTCCATGTTCTTCCTACAATCTACAACCTAAAACCGAGCGGAAGAGCAACTGTCAAATATAGCGAACGCTGCACAAACTGCATAAATATTGCAATCGCATGACTCGACATCGGCTGTACTGTTCTGGTATGGTCTGGTGGAACTAGGCGGACTTGGTCACGCTGCAGTTGACATTTTTTCCTTTTCGGTAGAAGTGGCAGCTAAACCGGGGGACACACAGAAAACAGTTCAGTCAGCGAGTCATCCAGTGGTTTCCACCGCTCCGCATACAAATTTTATTCGCTTCCGCTGAGCGTTTCCAAAATTAAAGCTGTCTTGCTACAACTTAAAGCTGGGGAATCCCACCGATTGGTCCAGTTTGAAATCAAACAACAACGAAAGTCGTTACTTTCCATTAGTGTCAGGTCGAAAAAACAAAGGATGTCGAAGAAGGAAAAGTGCCTTTTGATTTTCGGCAATTCTTTCATCGCACAGCGAAATTGGCGCAAGCGATTTTCTCTTATATTGTCGAGTGAATTTTCTTTTGTTTGTTTGACAATCGAACGAGTTCAAAAGTTTCCGTATGAGCACAGGAAAAGGTACAGTGGGCTATCGCTTATTACAACCTTATTGTTGCTGATTTTTGTCAAACTTTTGTAGAACTAATAAAACTAAAATTGTTTTATATTTTAAGAACTTTATAAGAAGTATAAGGCTATGATTTTGCATATTAAAAATTAACTTTTATATAAAACTTTTAAATTTAAGTTTGTTTTACTGCAATAAATATGTCAAAAGAATTTCGTTATCCACAATTGAGCGAAAGCAATTTGTAGCACGATTTCAAAAGTTGAGCACTCCTTTCCGTACGATGACGATGACTACCTGGAATGAAATCCAATTTGCTTAAGTAGGACATAGAGGCATTATAAATATAAATACCTTGATCTCATTTCACTCCCTTTTTCCAGGAGCTCCCACTGTCTGAACGTCACGACACTATCCGTTTACTTGGAAGTTGTCTGCTCGGCTAATTAACTCAATTGCAGCTTTTCCGGGCTCCGCAATTCTTCATTAGCTCGAAGTCAAAGTTTACGATATGCGATTATTTCACTCCAGCGATGCTGTGATGTAGTGATGTAGTGATGTTGTGGAGCTGCTGTTGTCAGTCGGATGCTGTTCTGCTGTTCTTTTGTGAGTGAGTGAGTGGCTGCCGAGGTGATTGTTTGTTTTATGAACGAAATAATGTAGAAGAAAGTCAACCACCCACCCATCTACCCACTCTTCCACCACAAAACGTAATTGTTTTGGCCTGGGGTTTTCGGGCAAGTTTTAAAGGTGCTCTCGGTATTTTTGGCTACGAAGTTGGAAAGCAAGTTATGATGCACGATGCCTTGCAGACAACTATTTCCAGACTTCGCCTGAACTAACTACTATACGGCATAATCTTGGCATTTGGACCACATTTTCTTTAGCATCCTTACGCATTTCTGCATTCTAGGTGTAGATGTGTATGGGGCAAAACCTCACTTCGACTACGTTCCATGTTGTTATTGTTTAATTTGCGCAAAATTCTGAATGTTGTGTTGTTTTTGGCTGGGGGAATTTGCATTCGAAATTTTGGCATTGTTTGTTCTAGGACTTCGCATTTCCATTACACTAATTCATGTATTTTATTACACTCGGCAGTCGGCCGCCCGGATTTTACCGAGCGGGCTTTAAACATTTTGTTGCAAGGGAAATAATTTATGCAGTTCACTGTTGTTTAATTGCACAGCTCCGTTTGTGGGTGCGGTGCGGTTATAGTTTCCAAGTTTATGCCGGGGACTAACGCTTGCATCTCTTCCAGTTGAGTAATAAGATTATTAGTTCCACTCTGGGGCACAAACACAAATACATTATAAATCTAACCCCAGTATATGCATATAGTTGGCCAACCACCCTCGTTACGGGACGGCCTTGCTGCAGGACCTCTAAATTAATGCCAATCCACAAAGCAACACCAAAATGCAACGCCATGGTTAAGCAGCTACTCTATTGTTTACATTATTTAAAAATTATAAATTCAAGAAAAAGAAACTTTATTAACATGTATTACACTTGACTAATTTGTACATATATACACATGTTTTTGAATATTTTTCTTTATCTATTATCCTCCAATATATGATCAAATATATTTTATGTACAGTTTTTCCTTTAATTGTATTTTACAGAAATTAAAAATATTTTTATACATTTCAACTTATGTTCATTATTGCAGAATTATATTGTCTGTACAGTTTGGTGATTGTTCCAGAAACATATAAGGTTACAGCTTATAATTAAGTCTTCCGAGCAATAAATGATACAAGACAAAAAAATCTTGTAATACATCCTCGAAAACTGTTAATAATTATGTATTAATAAGTTAAGCAGCTTAACTTTGCAGCTATTTCCTTTGAGTTAGTGTAGCCAAGCTGCCGATGACTCATTCAAATGTCAATTACACGAACTTAAATCCAAGCCAGGACATTGCCGACGCTTCCAGTTGATAAATTCAATTAAATAAATCTGTGAAATTCAGGAAGGAAATACTAAGCCGGCAGCATAAGCGCAGGGCTCAGTGTGCAACTTACGTAACACGTAAATATTTGCTTAAATTAGCTCGTACCTTATGAGATTTAATGAGAGATGTGGCTTATAGTTCGCCCAAGGTGGCTGGCTATATGTTTAACTGCAGAAGATTTAAGAAATTCTCTTCATACAGGCGCTGCAACTGCTCCTTACGCTCGTTAATCTCATCCAATGTGAAATTCAAATTTAAATGTAATCTATTTAAATGCATTCTTTTCTTTGATACCATTGGGGAGTCTTCCAAATTTTGTATTTGCTTGTTAAAAGCATCGATGCCTTCTTTGTTTCCTGTATAACAGCGATTTAATTTGAGCTTGGCGAGGCTTACAAGCTCTGAAAATTCCTGCAGACGAAGACGATGCAGCTGTAGTTCATGCAAACGCTCCTCCTGAACATCCAGCAAAATTGCGTAGTCATGTTTAATAATTTCATCCTTTAATTTATCCACATCATTGGTGGAGGCGGGTTTAAACGATTTCAGGTCTACTCGACAGTTCGACAGATTCTGCATATTTTGTTGCAACCTCATTATATCTTTGGATATATAATTAACTTCAAAAGGTTGTTCTGTCTTTATTTCCGTAGCCTCTTTTATTGAACTAACATCTGTGGTGTTCTGCTCTTCTGACACACAAATATCCTGCTCTTTTCGGTTTTCAATGGCATTCAACAAGAAGAGTAGCATTTCCAGCACATGACCCATGGCCTGTTGGCCGATTGGCATTCGTAGCCAGCTTTCGTTCACCTTTTTCGAATACTGAAGCTGCTGCAGTCCCTCCATCATCTGCTGTATATAGCAATCCCTGTCAGGATGCTTAAATTTTACGCCACACGAGGGTAGAAAGCGTACCAGCTGCTTCACAAAATCCGATATGAACTGACTTAGCTGGTAGTCCGTCTGTTTGTGCCAATCCTTTGAAAACCTCTCCAGCTTCGGCCGCAGCGAATCCTTGTCCAACTCAGTATGGAAATCCAGCTTGCGCTTTGAGTTGGTCAGCTTGGTTGCTTTGCTGGACGTGGTGGCCAGGCTCTTGGGATCCTTGGGGTACGAGAACCCAGTCGAGGGCACCAGCAGACGGCTCGAAGTGAAGCTGCTTGTGGGTGGCCTTGTTTTTGGCCGGTCAATCGACACCGACACCGCACGATTGGTTATGACTGCCTGGCGCTCTTGCTCGCGGATCACTTTTGGCCGTATTGGCTGAGGTTCCGAGGCGGGTATAAAGTGGGAGCTGGTAAAGTAAAGAAATAAGCTACATATATTCTAAGATTGTATACTTTATCGACGGGGAAAAGCATTTGAAATATCTATGTACTTAATTTCTTACATTTATTTTTAAATAAAAATGATGTTGCTTTTTAATAAATAAACAATAATACACATAATTAAGAAAATGCTTTTCAAAAGCCAAAACTGTTCTTACAAATTAGAAAGTTAAAGTGAGTATCTATTTTCTTATGTTTATAAGTACTTTAAGTGATTGATAAAAAAGAATACAAATATTTTAAATCTTAAAAATCAGAAATTATATAAATTTAAATTAACTAGCATATGAATTTATAAATTGCCTATATTGCTTCTTATTAAAAGTGAATAAACTGGAATACGAATATTTTGAAAAAATGCTTTACAATATCCAAAATTACCCTTACAATGGCCTTTAAAATAGTTTATATAAAATACTTAAACCTAGCCTTCAAATGCATGTTTCTCTCTGAAAATATTCTTTACACACCGCTTTTCCGGAGTTTTTGAACGATTAAGATTTTTCTGATTGCTCTGGGCAGTTATCTTGGTGGCAGAAGTTCCTCGATTATAATGGCACTTAAGATCCTGCAGCAGTTCTTTGGATCTTAAAGGTCTTGGTTCCGAAGCGGGTATGGCTATTTTGGAGGATCTATTTAATAAGAATAAAGTTTGCTTAATTAATTCTAGCTTAGATAGACATATCAGCTTACCTAGTTTCGGTAGTTTTGAGTCCTTCCCAGGTTCGTTGCATATTTTGAGTCGTTAAAAATGCATTTTTATATGGTATTTTGGAGGCAGAGGCAGGTCGCCCTATGGATCTCTCCAGACGCAGCAGCAATTCCTTTGGTCTTTCCAAACCCGCTTCGGTAATTATAATAGACGGTACGCTGTGGTATCATATTAAAGGTTAGGGGGATCAGTTCTTAAAACATCATTTACGTACCGCGCGTCTGGATTTTCAATTCTTTTAGGCTTTTGGGGAGTTAAATATTCCATTTTGGTGACAGTTTTACTACCCCTTTGCCTTTCTAGCAATTCCTTGGAACGCAAAGGAGTAAGAAACCCAGCAGTTCTAGGCGAAAACATAAAAATAAGTATACTAGGATACGCTTGGTTGTTCTCCAGCTCACCGCACATCGGGCGAAGTAGCCATATTGTTAATGTCCCAGTTTTTAGTGCACTATTTGTTAATTTCCAATCTTTTGTTTACAATTTTAAAATTACTAGCGCACAACAACAACGAGCCAATGACAGCAAACGCGTAGAAATGTGAATGGCAAAACACAGTCTGGCAACGCCAAGCGGGACTCAAGATAGCAGCACCAAAAGATCAAATAAAAAGAGGGCAACGCTGAAGCGATCGTTTCTTTTGAATTTGGGATTTAAATAAAAACGTTACTTAGCTTTTATAATTGTATAAAAATCTTTAAGAATCATAAAAGTCCTTTCTTTTTAAGGAAAAGCATCAAGAGCAAGTAATTATTAAGCCACACTGTTTTTTGAAACAAGTAAAATTGTACAATAATCATTCCACTAACACGCAGAAAATAAGTGGCACTCTCAGGCAATTATATACAGGATACACCCCTGAACCTTTATTAACTTTAAAAACTGCACCGGCAAGGCAACACGGGGCAGCAACGACATAAATCATGGATGAAAGTGAAAATTGCTTGCACCTACCACGAGCACTGAATCCCAGGTGGGCTCCGAAAGGTGCCGCCTCCGCCGACCCATGACCCCGCCCATTTGTGGCGGAATTACGAAACAATACACGCGTCGCAACTGAAGCCAGCAGGCTGCCAACCAGGAATTGAGAGCCAGGAGCCAGGAGTCAGGAGCCTGGAGCAGCCAAACGCAGTAGCATAGCCCCCAATCCCCCAGAGCAGCGGGAAGGTGTTATGTCGTGGCCGCTAACTAAACACCGTCAAAAATTAGTGACTAAAAAAACAGTTTTTATAAACCTAAAGTTAATCTTAATAGAAAATAAACCCTTTTAAAACTTAATGGCTAAAAAAACGAATGGTTAAATATTAGATAAAAGAGTTTTTTCATATATAATAGTTACTAGTTTTTGAACCTTGAGTTAATTTAATGTAAAGAAATATATATAATAGAAAATAAAAAAGTTTTCTACGGAAAAAAAAGGGATATAACTTTGAACCTTTGTTGAATTATACAGATTCTTTACATTTATTTCGTTATTTTAATACTTTTTTATTACTCCACAGAATTAAAAAGAGTAATTTACCATCCATTTTTTTTATTCAAGCCTATTTAATTACCCAAATTCTTTTCAGTGTACCTTCGCCTGAGCACTATATTGTTTTCTTGTTTTGACTGCTGCGTTTTTGCAATTTAACCGCAATAAATAATGGAGCAGCTTGCTAAATTTGAGCGCACACCCAACAGGAAGCGCTGGAAAAATGTAGGTTAGACATCCGAGGATAACGATGATGGCGATGATGTTATCAGTGGCCCATTGTGGGTGGTTATTCAGTAGCCATTGGCCAACCGAAACGAGACTCTTTTTTATTTTTACATATTTGATATACATTTTAATTGCGGGGCATTAAAATGCAAGCGCTGGCCGAAAATGCGCTTAAAATAATTAAATTTTATTGCCGCATCAACGAATTGGCAGCTGACTAAGCGAAAACTAACCGCAATGTGGACAGAGCCAAAATTGTCCTCAAGTATTGTGGGCATGAATAATTACACGGCTGTGTATCACTAAATAATTTTGCATTTATTTTATATAATACAGTACACATTGCATTAAACTAAATAAAATCTATTTAATATATAATATATATTTAATATGTAATCGTACACAATCAACCCTATATACGTCGTCGCTCCTCCTTATTCTCCGATTTGTCTTAGTCTGCACAGTTTATGTAGCATAATTAATATATATGTATCGCTGCCGTTGTACATCTCTTTTTCGCTACCCTTTAGTTTTGTTAACAACAATTATTGCTATTTGAATTTATTATTGGTTTAAGTGTATTCTCTTGTTTGTCTGTTAAAATCCTAACGTATTTTGTTTGCTTTTGCTTTGCGGTGTTTCAAGTTCTCACGATATCTTCTGTGTGTGTGGTGTGTTCGTTAGTGTGGATATACATATTTAAAATATAGTTTCTATTTAGATTTCTTGTGTAAACATGATACGCGATAAACAATTGAACAGTTAAAAACAGTTTGCCAGTTAACCAAACTCAGTTCGTTAACAATTCGAATTTGAATTTGGTTGAGTAAACTATTTACAAGTGGGACGTATAAATATAAATATAAATGTAAATATAAATTCACCAATAAAGTGGCTAAAAACATGCAAGCCGTGGCTCGTTGTACAATTGAACTAGAAGCAATCAGAGGAGTGCAATCTTATGGCAAAAACGTAACATTTGGTTGCGATTGCTGAGCAGCTTTTTGTGAGCCAAAACGGAGGGACGCTACAAAACTGTTTGTATACAACTATTCCTTGAACAAATCGGGATACCAAAAGTGCATTAAGTATTATTTAAAAATTGAACAAAGTTGAGCTGAACTTGAAGGTGCTTTAATGTATTGGCGTTGAATCTACAAACAAATCAATATTTGAAAAAATATCTCAACAATTACATTTAAAGATAAGATAAAAGTAATGAACATATGTATTAAATTTACAAAAGGGAATTGTAAAATATATAATCAAATTAAAAATTACTTTAAATACACTCTCAATACATAAATTTATATTTTTGCACTTTAGACACTTTCATTTGATATGGTAACTAAACTTTATCAAGGCCTAGTTGTAGCGAACATAGGAATAGACAGACAAAAGTGTGTGTTTTGTGTTTACAGTATACAGTAGTAGTACATACGTATGTAATAATAATAACAGTAACTATTTAACGCAACGTGGTCGTCGAAGGGGAAGGGGAAAGGGGATTTAAGGAAATAGGGGCATAGGTAGGGGGGTTGACAGGGGGGAGGGGACGGTAACGCAGGCGCTCAACTGGAATTAAACATTAATCAACAAACCGACCACAAATCGACTGCCACTCATTCCTGGCAGAAGCCCTCAGTCTCCTCGATGGCAAAGGTCAGCTTCTCCACCAGCTGATCGTAGCTCTTGTACGGCGGCAGGTCCAAGCGATTGAAGCAGGTGTGCGAGCGCGGCAGCCACGTCTCCTTGCCCACCTTCTCGATGCAGAAGCGCTGTGGCCCATTGGAGCCCATCAGCTCGGCGAATCCACCAACCGGCACACGACACGTGCCCGTCACAAACTGCAGAAGACGAGCGCGCTTCTCGTTGTCCGTCTCGCGAACAAACTGCGAAAGTAATTACCCGGATTAGTGGCCGCGAAAGGGCAGAAAGTTTGTTTAGAAGGGCAACGAGGCCAACGCACCTGCCAGAACCAGACGACCTGCTTGGAGTTGCGGTTGTAGTGCCTGTAGATAGTGTTGCGCTGCCAGTCCTCCACGTCCACGTCCTGCATGCCGCACAGGATCAGCTCCAGCTCGCGCTCATCAAAGTACTTGAGCCACTCCAGCGGCACCACCTCGTTGAAGCCCTCCAGGAACGTCTTTGTCTGCTGCTCAATGCCGCTGTGGTTGGGTTGAGTGGAAAATTAAATAGAGTACAATATTAAGATACTGCCAAGTAAGAACTTACCGCGTCATTCGCCACTCGGTCATTAGCGTGATGTACTCCTCCTTGTTCTCCTCTGTCACCCGCTCCTTTTCGCCATTCTCCTTCAACTCGTGATGGATTATCTGGCCGAGTACTTCAAAGTCCACGCTGAACCACAGCTCCAAGCCGCACTCATCGATGTTATTATCCTTTACCCAGATAAGCGAGTTGTAGAACTCCGGATCGATCGTCTCGATGTCCTTGATGGTCAGCTTCTTGTTCAGCATGCGCTTGTAGAAAGGCATTGTGAAGCCACTGTAGATAAACCTTCCGTGATACAGGGCCATCGCGATGAAGCGACCGATGAACTTGAAGTACTGCAGGTGATCGGGATTCACATACGAGGCGGGATTTATCTGCAGGCTGTAGTTGTTCTTGTTGGCGTACTCGAACAGACAGTACATCGGGTTGAGGACCTCGTGGGAGAGCAGGAAGAACCACTCGCGCGATACCCCGCCGTAATCCAGTCCCTCCTCGCCACGGAATATAATGTAGAGTCGCCGCCGCAGTTCGTAGGCAGGCAGACGCATAATCTGGTGGTAGGAGTCCTCGAACAGGGTTTGTCGCGTCACCGTGATCTTGATGTGCGAGGGCAGAGCGTTGCTCTGGCACAAGTACCGGAACTGCGAGAGCTTCCAGCGGAAACTGCGCTCGTAGGCGCGTGGCACTCCGTACACGCCCTTGGCCCCCTTCGGTGCGCCCGGTCGAGGATCCTCGAAGGTGGTGCGTCGCGTATTGTGATCGACGAAGAAGCGCTCGCCGGCTGCCGTGTACCGGATCTCCCAGCCAGGTGGCAGCGGACCCTCGTTGATCAGGCTCACCTCCTGACCCTGGGTGCGTGGATCCTCCCACTGGGTGGTGCGATTCTTATGGTTAACAAAGTACACTCGATTGTCCGACTGGACCTGTTTCAAGATAAGCGAAATAATACATTAAATTAAATCAAAGTTCGTAGGTAAACGGTTTTACCTTCTTTTCCCAGCCATCTGGCAGCGGTCCCAGTGCATCCTCGTCGTCCTGCGTCACTTGCGCGGTCACCGCTGTGGGCTGCTGTTGCTGCTGGGAGTACAGGTATCGCTGATTGCCCTGGGACACAACGTGAGCCCTCTGACCCTGCCAGTGCTGGAAGTGCATCAAACGCTCACTGTTCGGCCTCTGCCAGGTGGTCTTCCTCGTGTTGTGATCCACATAGTACACTCGTCCGCGTCCATCTTTCCTGATCTCCCAGCCCGGCGGCAGTGGCGTCGGTTTCTCCCAGTATGTGGATCGTGTGTTGTGATCCACATAGTATCGCCGGCCATACTGGTCCAGTCGGATTTCCCAGCCAGCCGGCAATGGCTCATCGTCCGCCGGTTGTGGTTGCAGTTGCGGATCTGTGCTTTGGCTCACGGGCAAGCCAACGCCCGGCTGTTCCATGGGCGGACCCGCAACTCCCGCTGCTCCTCCTGCTGCCGGCAGATAGACCGCAGCTGGTGGGGTGTTCTCTGGCAGCGCTCCGTAAACTTGGGTCAGGGGACGTGCAAGTGCGGGAGCTGGCGGCTGCTGGGGATACGGCG